TTAGGTATGGTTTTGACCCATTTCTCATGAGACGATTGATTATCACATAAAACATAAATAGAAGTTAATTGTGGGCATTCTTGAATCTCTGGTATTAAACGTTGTGCTAGCGCACCCGATACAATCATGAATACTTTTTCATCATGAATGTCAGTGAGAAAGTCAATACATTCGTCAACGTCTGTAAATGTGGTGACCATTGCTAAAATATTTTGTAGATGTTCTATTGGTTTTTTATACTCGCCTTTGGACTCATCGAAATCGGCATCAAGCCAGATCAGAAGAAAGTTTTGAAGAAATTGACGCCTAGGCCAAGGCAGTACAGTAGCAGCACGATTGCTCGCGTTGGTAATAGTGGTGGTGCTAGGCATCGCTGCTGCACCACTGATAACAGTTGTTATTGGTTGTTGTTTGTTCATTGTAGTTGAACGAATGAATACAATGAGTGAAATGTAGTCCTCCTATATTTATAATTGTTAAATGTTTTTTGATTAACATCATTCATTTTCTGACTTGTGGTTACAGGCTTCGAGGACCTCTACTACATCGATCGTTTTTCTATCAAGAGTGTTACTGATAAAACGACCAGTGGCGGCGGAGCCATTAGGCTTGGGGAGGCTCATATTTTGAAAAAAGATCACAGATCTTAGCATGGATTTATATTTAGTATCGGAAAAAATTCTTTGAACAATAGTATGTTCAACCTCATATTAGATAGCACGATAAGTGGCACACCAATTGCGTTTAAGAAAGCTCAAGTCTTAGTGAAAAACCAAGAAGGACATCTGACAGAGACTCGATATTTAAGAAAACTTTAGGAACGCCATTCCGAATTTGAGGGTGAACGTCACAAAATGTCACCAACATAGCTTATATTGCATGTATCTTCGCATGAACAAATGCTAAAATCTTGACTTTTTTCAAAGGATACGTTGCCGACAGTGTCTAAAATAACTATTAAAAAATCTCGTTAGCTTAATGTATGAAATAATATCTGTTTTTTTGCATCTGTTTTCCTCAAAAAAATAATAAAAATATGGATTTCTTATATAGATATGTGATTAAATTTTTCAGAATATTGAT